CTAGATATATTTTGGAAGATTTAGGATATCCAATACATAATTTTGCTTTTTTTTTTTTTCAATTTTTCTGGTACTCGTTCTGTGTGGTTTTATGGTTGGATGATGCTGCTTTATGAGAGAGAAAAGGTAATGGGATTCAATGTGCTAATGAGTTGGTAAACAAGATGCTTTTCCTATGTAGGTTAGTGAGCTAGTATATTTTTCATCCTGAATTGATAAAATTGTAGTTTGTAGAGGTTATTCTTTGACATCTCGGAGAGCGTTGTTTCAAATTGTGGCTACTGTTACTAGTGTGGGAGATGAGAAGGAGAAGAAGTGAAGAAATGAGGAAAGAGTAGGGAGAGTGTGATGTGTGTTAAAGCTGAGAAAAAATGTGAGGCTTTATTTGATTTGATGTGGGATACTCCTCTGCACTTAATGACTAGGATTTTGCTCTGGTTCTGGAAAGTGGCGATTTACTATGCAGAAGAAATTTCTTATGCGGAGATGGTATATTTAGGATTATGAATCAGAAACTTAAAATACTGAAGTAAAAGGATTTAAGTGGTGGTCTTTTTTGACTTCGTAAAAATTTTCTTTGTGTCCAATGGTGGACTTGAGAACGATAAGAGCTGTTGATATGTTTCACTGCCTCTGGAAGTGTAACGCATGCAGTAGGTTGAATTTGCTTTATTTGGAAAATCCCATTGACTTGTGAATTTATGGATGTCTAATTTCAACTCCATTCCCCTTTCCCATTCTCTCTCATCCAAAAGACTACAAACAACATTTTTGCTATCTTTCAAGTTATTTACCGACTCCTATAACTTTGGATAATGGTTATGGTTACTTGTGTTGCTTATTCTTGGTTTTGAAATCACAGGGCCCAAGGAGTTTTCTGCTTTATGGAGTTGTCTTGGTCAATGGCGAGTGAGTGATCTTTTGATTCTTTGTTACATTTCCTTCTTTGTTCCCCTATTATTTGGTTTATTCTGCTATTGCTTGTTTGTTTATTGTTTCTTTTTGGGAGGAAGGATGGAAATTGGATATTTGTTGTGTCTATATATGCATCTTGAGATGAATTATAGGGTACTTTCTTTGTTGGTTTGCAATGTCATCTATGAGATACGAGATAACTTCCTGATTTTTGGTGCTTGAAATCTTCAGGTCATCATCTTTTCAAATACTAAAGAATCAAAATATAGTGCATCATCAAATGATTGGCTGTAAATTCTACTCGTGCACATATATTTTTATCTAGGATATGCTGTGTGATTAAAATTCAGTAGGCCATGACATTAACTGTGAAGCATATTGTTCACTCTGAACTACATATAGCACATGGTGTAAAGAGGTCATTTTGACTTCATTAGACCAAGTGCAGATGTACTGAGCTATAGAATGGCGAGTAATGCTCCAGTTTTCTACCATCTTTTAGTTTTATATACATGAGATAGATGGTAAGCCAAACCACAATATAGTTTCCTGTTTATTTAAATTTGGAGTTCATTAACTGTTTATCCTGAATTAATCACACAACAGACCTGGATAGAGAGATGAACAGTCAAACGCACACAATAAGAGGAGAATTGCTTTACTGACATGGCTATGTGCTTTTTCTTCTGTAAAGCACTACTTACAAATTCATATTCATTATATTCAATGCTTGTGGTCCTTAAGAGCAGTAAGAGGGAAAATTGCGTGGTATGTTTTTAAATCTATTTGTCTTTTAGAAGAGTGGTCTGACACTAACATGCTTCTATAAACAGAGTTGTGAGGCATAAATTTTCTTTGCTGTCATAGCCAAAAGTATGGTTGGAACTCTTCTAACGTGGGGTAGCATATAAATCTCTCAAGGAATGGGTTTAATGGCATCAGGGGTTGTGATTCATATTCTTAAGAAAAGAGGTAAATGAGGAAATTCCTGCCATAATTGGGAGTGGTCCATTTGCACAGCAGGAAGTCTTTTAGATTTTTTCAGTCCCAGTTGATTCTTGGGATCATATTTCTTAAATAGTAGTTAATGGTAATAACATATTTCTTACCTTTAAGAAAAGGGAAGACATTGGGGCCTAAAGAGTTTCTTCTTTTTCTTTTTTTTTTCCCCTTATGTTTAACCATTTTCGTCAACCTCTGCTCATATCTTTTCCTGAATTCTTGCATAGTTTTGGATTGTCTTGGGATGACAATCCTGTCTGTTTAACAAGTTATTTCTGATTTTGTATGGAAAAACACCTACTATATTTAAAAATTCATGGTTTAGTTTGATTTGGCCCAAACATTGCGAAATACTTGAAGAACATAGTTTAAGAAGGAAATTAGCAAGATATGCATGTGGTGTTATCTTATATCTGAGGAAGAAGAGGCCCAACATTCTATGCTACTGCCCTGTTAGGTGTGTAACTTGTTGAGAAAGGTGCAATGTTTAGTTACTAAAACTTTCCATCATGGGGATGTGCATATAATAGCATAACTAAAAAATTAAGTATAAACTCTGTTTCAAGTATAAACTCTGATTCAGGTAGAATAGAGTATCTCTTACCTTCTTAGATTTTGGTGCTACTTTAAATGCTGCTTAGCAGATGCAAGACACCGTGAAGAAAACAATTTGCTTAGTGTCTGTTTTTGGATTATTTCTTAATCCGAACACATTGTTGGGTGCATATCTTACAAAAGGCATGCTATACTCTCTTTGATTTTGGATGGAAGGGAAAGTAAACTTCTGTACAACTGGAGAATATGCCTATGTTATGGTAATAGATTTGAGCAGAAAACTCTCTCGTGGTAATTATGTTTCTTTGGTAATGGGTAAACTACTTCTGTTCGATCTTAAAGGCATCTAATATTTTACTTTCTTTCCAGTCTTGCTTTCTTCCCCACTTAAAATTGTTCAACTAGTCAGTTTTTGGTGTTCAATTTTATTACAATATTTTGTTTCAAGCTATAATAGTCTATTGGAATAACTCTTTCACTCTTTACTGCAGGCCATATTTGAGAGGTTTGATAGAGATCGAAGTGGGAAAATTGATGCAACAGAACTAAGAGATGCTCTCAATGGTATAGGCTATGCAGTACCACCTTCTGTATTCCAAGTTCTCATTTCCAGATACGAAGAAGGAAATGGCAGAAGAGTTGAGCTCAGTTTTGACAGTTTTGTTGAGTAAGGCTTCCTCCTCCTTTGGTATATGAACTTTTTGTCTTCTGCTTTTTGTTGGCTGTTGAATAGCATGGTTTGATATATTCTTATCTCAGTCCTTTTCTTTTCTTTTGTGCAGATGTGGGATGATTGTGAAGGTAAGAAACTAAATTCAAATTCTCTTATGCACTTTTGTTTCATGGTTGGAATCTTTTTGTCCTGTGAGAGTTTTTAATAATGTTGGCCGAAACAGGGGGAAATTTTGTTAGAATCTGCAATCTTACACTCTTTCTGCAAGTTCAAAGTTATTAGTATATTGATGTCCCTTTCTATGAGACACTTGATTCTTACACATGTTATAAATACAGGGTTTGACTGAAAAGTTCAAGGAGAAGGATCCACGTTATACTGGATCAGCTACAATGACCTATGATTCGTTTATGAGTATGATCATACCTTTTCTTGTATCGTACTAGCTACCTGCTATCAACAATCTTTATCAATTCTTGATTTGTTGTCTGTTGTTTGAGGTGAAACTGTACATCGTTAGGGTGAGGTGCGTGAAATGTTCAGGAGACATGGAAGGGATGTATATCTTTGTGTACAGAGTTTTTCTATTGTCATGTTTGACTGGTTTTTCGAGATTCGATTGAATCGAGATTTTATTTATGTATGAGACAAATTTTCTAGCAAGCCTAGTAATTGGCAAGTCTGAACTTCAAATTGATTTTCCCCCCAACCATTCTCTCGTGCGTTCTTGATCTAGTGAGCATCAGCAAATTGCTTTCCAGCTAAGGTGAAGAGAGATGAAGACCATATTGCCATGCTCTGACAGAAATGGTTCAAACTCTGGTTGATTGCAAGGAGGGAAGGGCCATTTGAAATTTTTTTGTTTGTGACCCCAGTGTATTGATGTTTTTTCTTTCTCTTCGGAACATGGAATAGATGAAGATCAATTTTCAATGCAGAGTCATAGGCTTTCACTACTTGGAAAGTAAATTAGACTCCAATTGGTTCAATTTAGTACATACGAACTTGTACAAGATATTCTTGAGAGTTTTCAACTTGGGTTTAGACATGAATGGTTAATGTCAGAGCACAGCCAGATCAGGCAAAGCTAGCATTGTCGGGTACCCTTATGCAGAATCAATCATGCTTTATTATGCTCCAATTGGCAGAATTTTGTTTTGGGAACGTTTTGTTTGGACCTTGGACACTCGTAAACTTCGAGTAGGTTTGACTAAAGTGAAGCTTGTGGATCATGGCCTTCTCATTGTGATGATGCTGTGTGAATACTGTGGGAAGCAAACAGAAAGATGGATGATTAAATCTTTGCCCAATTCCTATGACTAAGGTGTAGAGAGAGTGTTTATGGTTTTGTTTCAGTTCTGCAGGCTTGAGCCTGTCCTTTTCGATGTTTGTGGGGAGGAGGGATCATGGATGGAAGAGGCAATTTACTACCAAACCCCCGGGCAAGACAAGTTCACATGTTCCTCTAAACAAATACCAAACATTCCAGGTCTGCACCAAAAACAGCCCAGGTGATAATAATGGTTATGCAACCACCAGTCCAAAGGCTGGTGGCCACCACCAAAGCATTAACCCTTGCCTCCCACCAATTGTCATACTAAAAGTGACTTTGCTTAAAAAAATTCAAGTGGGTGCACTTCGCACCCGTTTGGTCTGATGATGGTTCAGTCATCTCCGGATTACCCTGAGCTTCCTTAGGTTTGTCCCCTCCCCCTGGATTACCCTAAATTATGTTATGAGCTTCCTTAGGTCTGTCCCCTCCCCCTAGTACAGAATAAATTACGTTATACAACAGTTATCGTCTCTGGAAAAAAAAAAAGAAAAAAAGACAATAATGGTTATGCTCACATGCATAGCATCAAGGGCCGAACATGATAAATTTAAAAAAGTGACTACAATCCATCATGAAAGTACCTTATCATGAGCATCAAAATCCTAACAAGACTTGCAAGGAATTGAAAGGTGCCTGTTGCAATAAGATGCCAAATTACATATATGAAACCATTTTTCTTCTTCCAGTGAATCCTCTCGCTCGCAACAATTTTTGTTTTGCTAATTTATTAGGCACCATATTTCCTACATCAAGTGTATGTTAACTGATTGTATTGACGCGTAATACTTGGGATATTTGAACACGACAAAGAATCTTGTGATATTTTGTTTTGTAGTCTATAATCATCTGATTTTTTGTCAAAATTCTGTCTGACCCTTCTTCAATAAAGCCAGAACTCAAAGCGGATGATGTTTTTATAAATGAATTGGAGGACTGAACAGAAAGTGCTAGACAACTACCGTGTCCATGTATACCATGGCTATTACGATCAGATATTCTGGCCGCTTGGTTCTTGAAAGTAAATAGCATGTCAGATCTTTTGAAGTTGGGAACGCTTAAATGAGGCACCTCTTCCTCTGGAGGAGATTCTTCATGTCTCTGAACTACCTAAACAAAACCACGAAAGCAAGGTTCACAGTAAAAATCCATTCTTGGCATCTTGAAAGAAAAGACACTAATAGTAAAGAGTATTGACTAGAAATAAGACTCTCGTTGAAGGATGAAATGCAGATAATAAGCCAAAATGTTTTGCCTATAATAAACCGGAAAACTAATCTATAGGTAAACATGAATATCAACTCAGGAATAAAGTGATCCCATCAGATGTACGATTCTGGAACTAAGTGATCCTTTGCAATCATCAACCATGCAAACCCCAAAAAAGCAGGAATAAGTAGATCTGATGCTTTCCAGGAAGCCACTCTTGCTCCAGAGATTGAGATTATCCCACCATCAGGCAATAGCTTCAACAAGCTTGGCAGGCAATTGTAAGAATCTCTCGAACTCTTTGCTGATTTAAATGGCTCATCATGCAAAGTACTAGAAGTGCATAGAAACTGACGCTAACACTTTGCTGTGGCAGAAGGATGATGTTCATTTTCCTTTGCCAAAGTCATTGCATTAAGTCTAAAGTCCCCCTGGAAAAAGCAATTACACGAACAAAGTCTTCAGTAAAGTTCCCCTGACTAAGATAATATGTGGACAGCTAACCATAAATCTGATAGCAGATATGTTTGGAAGAAATGGAGAATTTTTGCACTGAGATTGACATTAAACTATTAACAGCCGATTCAGATTCAGACCCATCACAACATAGAAGCTAATCAAACATGATAATTGCTGTCTTGGATAACTGTTGTCTTCAATTAAAGTGGTGATGGAAATGTAGACAGGTTTTGAACGCCAAGCATAAGTTCCTGTTCTTATTTTCTTTCCCAGGGTTGAAGGACAGGATAATTTATGATTACAAGTCAATTACTAGTGTTATAATTTTGAACTACCAGATTTATGACATATGCCAAGATAATACAAGTACACTCTAAAACCAGGAAGTTTCATTTGGGAAAATTTCATACATTAAGATATTCCAAGAAAAGAGTACTCTCCCACACAAAAAGGAAATACACAGAACTACAAAAGCATTATAAATGGTGGTATAGATAGCTCACCTAGTGATCTCATGATTGGTGAATGTTGTAGATTGCAGCACTAATGCTTTTACAGTCAAATTCCATTGTCTTCATCCAGTTCTCAAAGTCTCCAATTTCCTGTCATGCGAAACAAAGATAATCAGATCAAAGGAAAATCCAGGTTTTAAAATATAAAATCTTCACAATGAAAAAAAAATTAAATAATTACAAGTCCAGGACAATAGCAGTAATGTAGTGAAATAGCTGGTCATGAGGCTGCATAAGTATCACAGCTAAATAAAAATTTTCGGTAATACAAATTCCTAATTTTCTTGGCAATCAAGGTGGCCCATTGTATCCTGTATCCCTAGGGATGAAGGCATAAAACCAGAATTGAGCCTCACACTTCTTTTTCCTTTTTTCTTTCTTAACCTTTTGCTGCTGGCCATAATGAAGCAGAATTAAGTGCAGTGAATGCTTAGCATCTAGCATAATCTTAAAAAAGAAGTAAGTACACACCAACAACGTTTTAGATTCAATAATTTATCATTCCCACTTCTACACGATCACCTATCAATAATAAGCATCCCAGGAAACAACTGCAGGTAATAACCAACCAGTCGTTATTCAGCAAGCCTCAAACAAAGAAAAACTTCACGTTTGAAAATCATTTGTGTAAACTTTCAACTATAGGTCTTCAAAAATGCTTATGAACTTGCACATGGATCACCAAAGGTTCTTTTTTTTTTTGTTTTTTTTTTGTTGGGGGGGGGGGGGGGGAGGGAGTGGAGGTTCTTTAGAGGGCCTAACGGCCCATTACAACATGATTAAATGCAGGGTAGACATCCATGCAACATTGTCACTCAACAATTTCCTAATCTGTTCTGGTGAATCCCCAAACTTGTGCAATCCTCATTCCAGAGCTTTGCTAGACCACCTGCCACAAAGCTCCCTTGTCTCCAGTATGTAGCAATCTACAATCTCAATCCTTCTGAAGCCACTGTCTGATTTCTCCAATTAGGTTCAACTGTACATTGTCCTTTGTAGCCTCTTTAACCAAGCCAATGCTGCTGAGAGAATCAGATTCTACCTCCGCTTTCCTGTATCCCTCAGCCCAAGCAAATTCCAATCCACACAGAATACCCAGCGTTGAGCTTATACATTAGTAGTGATTCCCAGGTTTGTACAAAAGCCCCCCAGAAAGACACCAAGTTCATTCCTTATCAGCCGCCCCGCTCCCACAACTCTGGGGTTGCCAGAAGCTGCCGCATCCACATTAAATGTGATGTAGTTGGCAGGTGGTTTAGACCTCACATAAACTATTTCCATTCGTCTGCCTTTAGGCCATTTCTCAGCTCTTCCTGTGCTCGCTCCGCAAGATCACCAAAGCTCAACTAGAAAGCTTCTACCACTCCCACTTTTTTCATGTGAATACCAAAAACTCGTGGCACTTCACCCAAAAAAAGATGTGCAAAGAAAATTTTGGGGTAAAAAAAAATGAGGAAAAAAATAACAACGCAAACTATTGCATATTGGTCATTTAAATATCGCAGTAACCGAATTTAATGCAATACATTTAAATAAACCCCCAGTTTTCTTCTCCTTTAATACCAAAATGGTTAAGGGCTAGCACATAATCACACAAATAACTCACATATCAAGCAAAGACTTAAACTTGCATTACTCTGTTGGTAACCATTGCCTCAACCATGTCAACTTTTAGGTTTATATATCAAAACAGACGATCAATTAAAAAAAAAAAAAAAAAAAGCTTTTCAACCTTGATTGCTGTATTGATAGCATGAGAAGCTGCTAGCCACTGATCAGTCTGCTTCCCAAATTGGACAATAGCAGCTGTCAATGCTCGAATTTCCATTTCTATCCTTTTCTCCGTGATAAAGGCTTCTTGAACACCTCCATCAACCGAATCAACTAAAAGCGCAGAAACCCTTTTGGCAATTTCAATTGCATCTTTCTTTGCCTTGTCTGTTCAAAATTACAACAACCCAACTGAATCAAATTACTACTTAATCAAATATATGGTCAAAATCCCAGAAGTTTCTTTTAAGGGATAAAAAAAATAGGATTGGACGGGGAAATCAAATGGGTTGACCTGTATGTTCCCGGAGTTGGATTGATGATTGATTATGAGCATGCATCAGTTGAAGTAATGAAGCTTCTAAACCTCCAACTTCTGGCTGTTTTGATCGATCCATCTTCAGAAGAAAAGGGCATTCGCAGCCTTTTTCAGCTTCAATTTCTGATGCACTTTCCCATTTTGTTGGGGTGTTAGTATATTATTACAAAAGTTTTGATTTTTGATTTGTTTTTAACGAGATTAAAATTATAATTGTAGCAAATTAAAAAATTGTGTTCGAGTCTAACATGTGAAAATTATTACATTTTGAGCCATTAACTTTTTATAAGTTAGAGTTCATATGAAATTTTGAGCTTGAATAACTCGACTAATTAATGCTCCTTAGTATGTTAAACTAGGTTTGAGTACTAGCTTTCCATTGATTAATCACAAGATTGAAGTCACTTAGGGAATTGAATTGTTTGATTCGTTTCTTAGCTCCACGAGTACTACCTAGTTTCAATGTGCCTGCAAAATGAAAAAACAATAATTTTTTTTCTTGTTGTTGATGAATTAATTGTACATGTAAAATGGGTATAAACTAAATATTGTATAGATTCATGTATCTTATGAAAGTTTGATCGTTGATTGTCTCATGTACGTGATAGAAACTTGGATTTGCTTTCCAATCCAATATGAGTTAATGAAAATAACACATTGATGTGGTAGAGGCAAGATGACAAATCTTGGAGAAAAGGTTTCGCACTAAGGCAAAAGTAAGATCATGATAATTAGCATCAAGAAGAATGACAAGAGAGTAAAAGATCCTACCCCAAAATGGTCTTTGATAATGTGTCAAAGTTACTTAAGTGCAACGCATCAATTATGCATCCCATAGTGAACCACAAGGTCCACCATCTTATCAATTGAGGTAAAAACATCATGAATTAGAGAAAGAAACAAAAAGTTGGGGACATTTGTTGTTTGTTAGCGCAAATTAAGTAGTTGAAATTATGGATTTGATGTTGGATGTTAAGTAAATAATAATTTTTACTGGGGTCTAAAGCACTAAAGATCACTAGATAATGAACACACATGCATGACATTTGGTGCCCCTCTTTCAAATCCATCATTTATTTCATGAAACATTATAAAAAGTGTGATGAATTGCATAACCGACTTTGGGATATTTGCATGCTACGTAAGAAAAGAATAATTATGCTTCTTGTCAAGCAAATCGTACTGGACAATATTCGACAATTTCATTAATAAAATTTTTTGTTTTATCAGAAAATAAAAATAGAAAATCATGTGTCTTGTCTGGGTGCTGAAAGATACGTTTATGCAAAACTAATTTCCCATTTGTTTTGATAAAAGGTTTGAGTGGCTAAAAATATGAGGAAATGCTTTCACCAACTAATCATAAGTGGTCAACTTGCAGTTTTTAGTAGTATTCACGCTAGAGATAGATTAACTTGCACCTTTAGTTAATACAGTTAAAGATTAACTTATACCTTTAGTTAATATGATTAAAGTTACACCTCAGTTAATTTTGTATTTGCTGAATTTGGCAGATGTGTGATGTGACTTTCTTTAAATTGATTGAAGCACTGCATATGGAAACATGGCTCAATCTGGACTCTCCCTAATATAGGTTAGAGTAGGAGCAGGAGTTCCGTTTGATAAAAAAAAAATATGGGAACAAAACATTTCTTCACCATAACCTTTTGTATGATCATCCATTCATTTTTTTTAACTGCAATGGAATAGACTAGTTCCTTATGATAATATTATACAACCTAACCACCTAGTTTTTCAAAATTCTTATTGTTAGACAAGGCATTGCAAGTCAATTTATTTTCCATATAAAGGTTAACTGGATCCATTCCCATATGTTTTCCTTTTTCTGGTATCCTCTACCTTAGGTTGAAGTGATAACTATTTGCTAATCGTTATTTTACGAAAGAAGGGTTATTATTTTTTTTTTTTTTTGACAAAGGAACCTGCAGTCACTGTCCGAAGGTGCGCGCTGAGTAAATTTCGTCCCGTGCAATAGTCCGCCAACCACAGGAAGTACAAATCTTGTACGGCGGGCGGATGTCCCAGTAAAGATTCGAACTCGAGGGTTATTATCATTTGACCTTTAGATTTTACCAACAAAATTACTTTGGAACAAATGAAAAGTATCACGATGTTTTGTCCACCTTGCATTGAGATTCCTCTTGCCTGCATGCGATTCGCGAAGGTCACGAGATAATTTATTCATTACATTGAAATTAGGAATATTGTTAATCGCATTCCATCTCTTTTTATATCTTTTGCACATCTACAAAAAGTGAAGTGTAAATTAACCTCATGCTCGTGCACTACAAGTAACATATCGAAAGTGAAAAAAAGATTAGAAAAGGCGATTTCTACGTACTAAGATTAATCTATTTCTAATCCTTTTTTTTTTTTAAAGAATCTATTTGTCATCCTTTTTTTTTTTTTCAAGAATCTATTTTGTGATCCCTATCCAACTGTTGTGGTGAAATGAAGGAAAAATCAAGCAACTTTGCATCTTACGTTTGTGATTTGAATAGGATTGTCCTCAACAAATACTAGTTTTTATTTAAAAGATAATGCATGCGGACACATCACATAAATTTTATCTCACACGCTCCTCAACACAATCCGTCTTGCTTGTAAATATTATTGTCGTCGACGGATAATAGTTCTCTACATAAATATTGGTTAAATTTGCTATCACTCTCTATAATACGTAGTTAAGAAATTACAGCCTTGTTCGAATTGCTACATTTCTGCAAAAAATTCTTTTGGATTTTCTAAAGTATTCTCTCGACATGATTGTTAATCACATTTTTTATATAAAAAAAATGCTATAATGTAGTTTTTCAGCATAAACCCCCCAAAAATAAATCTCAATGGACGGTACATTTTGTTATAGTCTTGGACTCGATTCTTTTCGATCAAACGATAATTTTGAAAACTCAGCAATTAGGAAAATCTTATTTCATACAACCAAGGAACGACTTAAATCCTTTTTTAGTTGTAGATCGATGAATTAAATCCCTGATAGAATAAGAATTATTGCATAAAAGAAAAAAAGGATGGAGCGAGCCGAGTTAAATTAAACACTACTAGATTATAGCGTTTGACCATATACCGACTTATCTACGAAACACATGGAAGTTCCAATTCTGCAGAACTCCAAACCAGGGCCTGATGCCTGAATGGCCTACGGCATTGACCATATCGAGTAAACGAAAAAGGTTTCAGTTCAAAACACGGATCCCCAAAATAGAAGTCCAAGCTATCAAAGCTAGTAGGAAAGATAGATAGATACACCTGCCAGGGCTACAGTGCTACACATCCCCACACACAGTCACATTGTGTCACACACAATTTTTCCAGTTTCCGAAAAATATTTCATTACCCCCACCCGGCAGAAAGTGAAGGAAGGTGGCAGTAAAAGAAAGGATTTTTACGAAATAATTGCAAGCCAATGTCGGTGAAACTAAACTCCACCTTAAGCAATAAGAAAAAAATGTCACGTGCAACCTTTGGTAACTGAATCAGAGTTTCCTGGAAACGCTTGCTGAATAGAAACGTTATTGAAGTGAAAATCAATCATGATTGCAAGTGTTTAGTACAGGATGAAAACAATTTTTGTTTTACTAGTTGTGTTGTGCGGTTGCTCCTTTCACACATACTGTGACAGAATATATTAGTACGTATAAATATCGGAAGGCATCATTAAAAGGGCATCGTGGTTGAGGTTTGGCTAGGCTGGCATTACAGCAATGGCCTCCCTGAGGTCCCTCAACCGCTTCAGGGCTCTTGTTCTTCTCTTCTCCCTCCTATCAGGTCCTTCATCTTTCATCTCTTGTTTTTTTTTTAATTCATTTTTCATCATATTACGAGTCTTCTTAAGTGGGTTTTTCTGGGTTTTGGTTGGTTGTGCCTAATCATTTGGTTAAGGGGAAAACAAGGTGAAAAAATAGTTGGCTACTGATCTTTTGGATTGGGGGAATTGAGCTAGTTCTTCTGGTTTTGCGAGCTGGGGAGCTTTTCTGAAGTGGGGCTTTCTTGTTTTTCTCTGTTTTCCTTTATTTTGGTTTGCTGGGTTTCGGTGGCAAGAAGTTGGAATGTTCAAGATTCAATTTTTGTTTGATTATCTGAGCATTCAAGTTGCAGGGCCTTGAGTTTTATGATTCTTTTATCATATTTGAACTATAATGTTCTGAAATTCTTCAAGATATGCTTGCTATTGGATTGGTGACCTGGATTCTTGACACAAAAGAATAGGAATTTATTGTTACTACCGTGTTTCTGTGATTCTTTTCAGAGTTTTCCTCGTAGGAATGATGTGACCTGTTGATTTTATTTGTCCTCTGATTGGTTTATGTTCTGGAAGTTTATCCTGGTATTGGTACTTATGAATTTTCACTGTTAGTTAATACTATAAGATGAATTAGAAAACACTTGAAGCTATCTTCTCTTTTGCCAAATTTTGAAGGATTATGAATATTGAAGCTGATAGCCATCACTATTATTCTGTTTCTTTGGGAATAAGCTTATGCATTTATCACCCTCTTCGTCTACACTCACCAATGGCCTTCAATTTTTTGCTCAGATTTATCTGTTGGCGTACTCAGCCTTGGAATTGGGATAAATTATGGCCAAATAGCCAACAATCTCCCTTCACCGTCCCGGGTTGCTGTTCTCCTTAGATCTCTCAATATAAGCAGGGTGAAGCTATATGATGCAGATCCAAATGTGTTGAGTGCTTTCTCCAATTCCAATGTTGATTTTGTCATTGGATTAGGGAATGAAAATCTTCAAGCAATGACTGATCCTGGTCAGGCTCAAACTTGGATTCAGCAACATGTTCAACCATACCTTTCTCAGACTAAGATCACTTGTATCACTGTTGGAAATGAGGTCCTAACTGGGAATGATACCCAGATGAAATCTCACCTCCTCCCTGCAATGCAAACTGTCAATAATGCTCTTAATAATCTCGGGCTCAGTCGAGAGGTCTATGTAACAACTGCTCATTCAACAGGCATATTAGGTAACTCCTTCCCACCTTCCTCAGGGTCATTCCGACAAGATCTTGCAGAATATATCCAGCCTATCCTCAGTTTTCATTCTCAGACAAATTCACCATTCCTCATAAACGCGTATCCCTTCT